TGTGTTTTCTTGGGAACACCTGGAATTACCCGGAGGGCTCTGCTCTCATTCCAGGTGCAGAGCGTGGACATCGCTGCCTTCAACAAGATTTAGATGGAAAACTGGGATCTTTTTCCCTCTGAAACGGGAATAATAAAGCTGAAGGTTGGAAGTGCACATGGAATGAGGGTTTATTCCCGTTTCCGGCGGGATTCCATGGGAAATTTTGGGATATTGGAGCAACCTGGACTAGCGGAAGGAGGTTGGAACTTGAGCAGCTTCCAGGTCCTTTCCAACCCAAAGCATTCTGTGATTTCCTCGTTCCCTTTGGGAAAGGAAAGACCTTGGGATACGGGAGGACCGAAATTTTGGGAATGAAGGGCTGGGGGTGCCAAAGGTGCTTCCAACTCCCCTTTCCCGAGGGAGAGACCCCCGGCAGTCCCAACTGAAAAAAGAAAACCGGGATGGATCAGCGGGAAACATCCCGGAATTGGTGGTTTGGGATGGATTTTATCCCTCTTTTCCCGGTGATTCCATGCCCAGGTACTGGAGCTGTGGAAAGGTGACATTCCCGAGGGTGGGAGAGGACAGGTGACATTCCTGGCTGTGTCCCAGGAATTCCCAGTGTCCCATGGCCCTGGAGTTGGAAATGTCCTAAATCCCTGGAGCCAGGAATGTCCTAAATCCCTGGAGCCAGGAATGTCCCAAATCCCTGGAGCCGAGAATGTCCTTAATTCCTGGAGCTGGGAATGTCCCAAATCCTTGGAGCTGGGGGTGTCCAGTGTCCCAAATCCTTGGAGCCGGGAATGTCCCACATCCCTGGAACTGAGAATGCCCAGAGTCCCAAATCCCTGGAGTTGAGAATGTCCCAAATCCCTGAAGCTGGAGATGTCCCAAATTTCCTGGAGCCGGGAATGCCCAGTGTCCCGAATCCCTGGAACCAGGAATGTCCATAATCCCTGGAACTGGGAACGTCCTTAATTCCTGGAGCTGGGAATGTCCCAAATCCCTGGAGCCAGGAATGTCCATAATCCCTGGAACTGGGAACGTCCTTAATTCCTGGAGCTGGGAATGTCCCATATCCCTGGAGCGGGGAATGCCCAGTGTCCCAAATCCCTGGAGCCAGGAATGTCCATAATCTGTGGAACTGGGAGCATCCTTAATTCCTGGAGCTGGGAATGTCCCAAATCCCTGGAGCCGGGAATGTCCTTAATCCCTGGAACTGGGAACATCCTTAATTCCTGGAGCTGGGGATGTCCCAAATACCTGGAGCTGGGAATGTCCTTAATTCCTGTGTCACCATCCCTGTGTCCCCTACCCCCGTGTCCCCATCCCCGGTGTCCCGTGTCCCCCTGTGCTGCCATCCCCGGTGTCCCGTGCCCCCTCCCGGTGCCCCCCCCCCTGTCCCGGTGTCCCCTCCCCTGTCGTGGTGTCCCCGCCCCGCGATGGTGCCTCTGCCCGCCCTGTCCCTGGTGTCCTGCGGGCATTGGTGGCACCGTGTGCCACTGTGCCTGTGTCACCCTGTGCCACCATCCCTGTGTCACCCTGTGCCACTGTGCCTGTGTCACCCTGTGCCACCATCCCTGTGTCCCCCTGTGCCACCGTGCCTGTGTCACCCTGTGCCATCATCCCTGTGTCCCCCTGTGCCACCGTCTCTTTCTGTCCTGTGTGCTGCCATCCCTGTGTCCCCCTGTGTTGCCACCCCATCCCATTGTGTCGTGTGCCACCATCCCCGTGTCCCCTGTGCCACCATCCCTGTGTCCCCTGTGCCACCATCCCTGTGTCCCACCATCCCAGTGTCCCCTGTGTGCCACCATCCCAGTGTCCCCTGTGTGCCACCATCCCAGTGTCCCGTGTGCCACCATCCCTGTGTCCCACCATCCCAGTGTCCCGTGTGCCACCATCCCTGTTTCCCCTGTGTGCTGCCATCCCATGTGCCCTGTCCCCTGTGTCTGCCGCGTGCTGCCATCCCTGTGTCCCCTGTGTGCCACCTGTGTCCCCTGTGTGCTGCCATCCCTGTGTGCCCCATGTCCCCTGTGTGTCACTATCCCTGTGTCCCCTCTGTGCTGCCACCCCTGTGTGTCCCCTGTGCCACCATCCCTGTGTCCCCTGTGCCACCGTCCCTGCGTCACCCTGTGCCACTATCCTCATGTCTCGTGTGCCACTGTCCCTGTCCCCCCCTGTGCCACCGTCCCTGTGTCCCGTGTCCCACTGTCCCTGTATCCCTGTGTGTCCCATGTCCCGGCTCTGTGGCCATCCCTGTGTCCCCACGTGCTGCCATCCCTGTCCCGTGTCCGCTGTGTCGCCATCCCCGGTGTCCCCTGTCCCCCTGTGCTGCCATCCCCGTGTCCCCTGTGTCCCCCTCCCTGTCCCGTGTCCCTGTTCCCCTCCCATTTCCCCGCCCGCTCCTCCCCGTCCCACCCCCGTCCCTCGTCCCTCCCGGTGTCCCCTCCCCCGTGGCCGTGTCCCCTCCCTTGTCCCCGTGTCCCCTCCC